TATTGGACTCATTTAGTGACACATTCTTCGCAAACTCGCGAACCGATGCCAATGAAGACAAATCCAGTTTTATTGCAATTATGTTTGCCTTTGGATTCTTAACTCTTATGTCATTTATAGCATCTTTGGCTTTATTTATATCACGACATCCAATGATAATCTGATCACAAAAATGCAAAATTTAAAATGAGTTTTCATTTATATGCAATACAATTAGTTAATACTTCAATGGATTCAGTCATACCTTAGCGCCTCGTAATGAGAGGTGAAGTGCAGTCTCTTTACCGATACCAGTGTTGGCACCGGTTATCACCACAACCTGACCATCAAGTCTTCGAGTGCTCTCACATTTATTCCTCCATCCGATAGCACTCGTAAACACCTCCTTAACCCCTCTTAACATAAACACCAATTTATTCATTATTATATTTATATAAGTTACAAAACTCTTATAATTTTAAAATATTTAACTTAAGTATTGACAACTCCTGAATAACCTTGAAAATGACACAGAGTCAATATTCTGCGTTTATTTTATACTACATTTTTAATAGTACTGCACTGTACTACTGTTCCAGTCACAACAATTTACTATATGTAATACAGTAATCAGTACTTATGTCCTAAAATGATATATTTGATAAAAGTGATGAATGTAAATATGACAATCTACTACTGTAATTAATGTAGAATTTTCTATCGAAAATTTGATATTTGTTGATTCATGTAATCTAATTTAGTGGACATTTAGTGCTATTTATATGAATTACTAAAACTATAAAACATTTTAGAATCTAAAATCTAAAATTTGGATAAATTCCTATTTAATTTTGTGTATAATATTTTTATAAATTAATGAATACAGTAATACTATTAAATAACTCTTAATAATTATGAATAAGTTAATAAACCTTTATACAACTAAAATGTAATTAAATTTAAAATCTGATAAGAATATTAACTTCAGTGAATACAAATTAAATTAAATCAGATAAAACAATCACGTTTAAATAGTGATCATTTACAAAAAAAATTTATTTGAAAATATTTGGAAAAATATATATTTAAATTTATTTCATAATAAAACTTAAATTTTTGTAGTCATTTAAATTTGGAAGTTATTTTAATTGATTTTATCTAGTAAAATTTAAGATAGATACCTTTAATTTATACACCCCTCGACATAACTATTGACCATGCGGGAAATGAATTATTTCTTGAACGGATTATCCAATCCTTAATCACTCTCCAAGCTTTTATAGTCCCAAATTACCGGTTTTTAAAAAATATACTACTGTATATGTCATATAAATTCACCATGATAACAGCGTAAAAAATGTCCCAGAATTTTTTGATTTAATTTGTATTGAAAATAATTCACAATATAAATAATAATTTATGATTCAATGTAATTACTATAAGAAATTAAAAAAATGGAAACTATTTTTACGAAGCCAAATTACGCAGTTATCATGGTAAATTTATATGACATATACAGTAGTATATTTTTAAAAACCAGTAAGTTGGGGCTATAAAAGCATGAATATAGATTAAGAACTGGATTATCCATTCAAGAGATAATCCATTTCCCACACGGTAGATAGTTATTTCGAGGGGCGTGTATTTACATACAGTAGTTAGTCTAAATATGATATAAACTTTTAATATTATCATGTTGATTTAAATAGCATAACAACAAAAAATACTTTTGCATTTAATATTTATAAAACTTGAAAATTCTGTGTAGTATGTAAAACGTCAATCATTTATTTCATATTTTATTTAGTAAAATACTTTACAATATATCATATTAATTAATGATTGAATAACTTGGCCTTGAGCATAATTTATACTGACATTGAAAATAGTAAGCAAAAACTCTAATAGTTTTCTCATTAATGATGCAATCGTATGATTTATAAATAATTGATGCTATAGACAATTATTACTATATTATGGTTATGATTATATAAGTATAATTAATATTATTTAAAAATACTTTATAGCAATATTTAAATCACAATTTAAAATATATTTCACTATAAGAATTTATCTAAAAAATAAGCAACCAACTTTTCGTATAGACTTACACAATACTATTATTTTAAATATAGTATAATTTTAATATTATTAATTGTTATGATACTTATACGAAATTATATTAATATTTGTTAAAATAAAAACTGTTTTTACAATCAGTTATAGTCTCCTAAAATACTAATGATTTTATAAATAATTTATTAGTTTCATATAAAAAATCAAATTATGGGGAAATTGAATATGATTTCCAGAATTTTAGTACGAAAGTACTTTTTAAAACATCATTATTAGCCCAAAATTGGTGGCTATGCTTACAGGTATTAATAACTAATGATATAATAAAAGCAATAATTAATTATTTCATACAAAATGTCACTATTATAATCGGACATATTTTTCAAAGGGTATATAAAGAGATGAATTTTTCAAACATTTAGTACATTTAAAAATTGAAATAAAATTTTAAAAGTACTATCAAACTAATTAAAAATGAATTCAATATATTTATTATGCTTTTTGGCATTTGTGTCGATAGGAAATGCTATGATTTCTGTTAACTTACAAAATGAAATGAGAAATTCACGTAACTTTACGGGCAAAGTAGTACTGGTGACCGGATCCAGTTCCGGTATTGGGGAGGGTATTGTCAAACTATTTTCGGCATTGGGTGCCAGTGTTGTGGTCACCGGTAGGAACTCATCCGAAGTGTCACGAGTGGCCAAAGAGGCTCAAGAATTATCACCAAATAATCTGAAGGTAAGGTTAACTTTAATATAATTACTGTATTATTCAAAACTAAATCATCAATTACTTAGCCGTTGCAAGTAGTGGCAGATGTGACCAAAAGTGATGACTTGCACCGACTTTTGAACGAAACCATTGAACGTTTCGGGAAATTACATGTTTTGGTTAATAACGCGGGAGTCCTGAAAAGCGCCGACATTTGGGACCAATATGTGATGGATGTGTTTGACGAGACCTTTAAAGTCAATTTGAGGGCTTATGTGGAGTTAAGTCATTTGGCGGTCCCTTATTTGGATGAAACCAACGGCACTATTATTAGCACTTCTAGTATGCTGTCTATGAGACCGGTAACTACTAACACAGATTACTACTTATTATATTTAAAAATTATATATTAATATCTTACCTTGCACACTTAAAGCATACATTCCTCATGGCTTACGGAGCATCTAAGGCTGGTGTAGATTTCATGACCAAAGTGTTGGCACTTGAATTGGGTCCCAAAATCCGTGTGAATGCTGTCAAGTAAGTTACAAATTAGCAAGTTTATAATTAATTTATACCTAAATTGTAAATAATGTATTCACAAAACTCTAGTCCGGGTCACACGCGCTCTAATCTGAACCACATAATGGGTGTTCAGGCTCAGCAAGCCCTGGAAAACCATATCATTGAGTTGACACCTCTTAAACGAGTGGCCGACCCCTTAGATGTGGCCAAAGGTGTGGTATTCCTGGCCTCAGACGACGCCAGCTTTATTACCGGCGCTAATCTGGTCATCGATGGCGGAG